TTTGTGGAACAATCCCAAGCCAACTTACAGAATGCTGAAGGCTAAAATTCAGGAAAATATCCCAGCCCTTTTGTCATCCAACTCACACCATCACTCTACTCGCCAGTCATATTTTACATTGATAGATGTGGGGTTTATATTATTGTGATTTCTGCAGATCTTTAAAAGGGCTACATTAGGGAGAATGTTTCTCTCTGAAGCTGGAGCCTAAATGCTTTAGAACAAAATACACGCTTTCCTGTCAAAAAAGGAAACATAGTGAGGAGCTGACTTTTTTAAAGAGTCATACTGAGGAAAGGAGAATACTTTTTGCATGTATCTGTGTGGTAAGAGGGAGGAAATTTAGTGCAGAAATCTGCTCAGATTAGCCTAAAATAGAGTTTCTAGATGAAATTTGCTGCTTACCTCTGTTGTTATTACACGATCCTATTGTCAATGATTGACGAAAGAGTCATCGTCTTTTTTAAGCTATTCAGTGCTAGGAGTTACCAAGTGGAATTTCACCTCTCCTGTGTGTGTGTGTGCGTGTGTGTGTGTGTGTGTGTGCACGCCCCTGATGACCAGCTTAAAGGACAAGACGGTGTAGATCAACCCAAGCTGATGCTGGTCTAATAACACACTCATGCACATGACATTAGGCTCCAAAAGTTTTCAAAGGCACCCTCTGACTCTGTTGCCAGATACTATATTTACAAAAGAGCTGTCCTCCAGTCCAGATTGCCTGCACACTGAGTGGTGAGGGGTGCACATCTTTCCAGAGAAGAAGGAAACATTTTTGGTTCCTTCTCTTCCCACCATCTCCCAAGTAGAGAAAGGAAAAGTGGATTACAGTGCTCACAAGCTTGGGAAGCCACTCAACAAATCACAACTTCTGGGAAAGAAGGTATAGAGCTTTAAGTTACAGAATCCTCTGAATGTGAACCAAAGAACTGAGCTTGGAATTTGGAGACTGGGAAAATAACTGTGTAGGAGCCTCAAATTGTGAATGCTGCTGGGACATCTGAGAGACACAAACAGGGCCCTTCCCTTCCACTCTATATCCCTCACCCAACCTCACTGGCTTTCCCTTTACAGGAGAAGACACATACACACTATAAAACAAAAATGAAAAAGCAGTTTTACCTTCCTTTCACCACACACACAAAACCCTTGTTTTTCTCATTTTGTTTTCCATGTTGACACTTTGTTACCTGTAAGCATTTTTAAAAGCAGAGGTCAAGTGGGGGGCAGGGGGAAATGGGTGAAGGTGGTCAAAAGGTAGAAAACATCTGGGGATGTAATGTACGGCCTGGGGACTATGGTTAACAATACTGTATTGTGTATTTAAGAGTTAGTAAGAGAGTAGATCTTAAAAGTTTTCATCATAAGGAAGAAAAATTGTAACTGTGTGAGGTGATGAATATTAACTAGATTTATTGTGGTGATCATTTTGCAATATATATGTATATCAAATCATTATGTTGTACACCTTACACTTACACAATATTATTTGTCAATTATACCTTAATGAAACTGGGGAAATTGTTAAAATAAAAGCAGTGGTGTATGAGGTCACTTGCCGTTACTTTTTGTTTTTAAATCGTGACCCCCTTTAGCTGTAATGACTGATTGGCAGGCTCAATCAGATGCTTAGGGCTGGTTAATGTCATAAAGTTTTTGAGCCATGATGAAAGATAACTCTTACTCTCCCTTGCTTGAGCTGTAGAGTGTTTCCTTAGCTTCTCCACCGTGCAAACTCTTAGGAAAAACATTCCTGTTGTGCATACATGGAACTAAACCAAACCAACCAGGATAAAGGACACCTAAGTAAGGTACCCTCCACCCACTTCTCACTCACTCCCAGTTTTACAGGGCCAGTTGCAACTGGTGGCCAGCTGGAATCCTGGGTGGAAGTAAATTAACTGGAAACTCGAGTCACTGCTGCAGTCCCCTGGAATAAAGGAACGAATGCCAGTGCAGCATGGCCCCAGAGCCCACCTCTGGCTACTCTGCCCACACAACTCAGAGCACTTCTGTGCTCAGGCTGGCAAGCACGCAGACTCTGTCTGCCTTCTGCGTATTTGCCTGTAGGATGGAGGCCAGGCCACAGACTTTCATGCTTCTCGGATGCTCTAAATGTAAGGAGCTTTTAGTTCCTAAAGGAACTAAAAGAGGTGTCTTCCCACATATCTAACTCAGGATAAATATTATAACCCTATTTACTTCTTAAGAAAAAGCTTCAATCGTAGTTCCAAGTTTCTATCAGTGATACGACTATATTACTACTACTACTAGTATAGTAGTAGTTTTTATTATTATATTTCAGGAATAGCATTTCTAATTATCTTGTGGATTTTTGCTTTCTTAGGAAGAAGGAATAAATAAAAAGTTGCTTGGCTTTTCAAGACAGAAGAGGGATGGTAAAGGTAAAAATAAGTAAATAAAGTAGATAAGAGATTCATTTATTGCAAAATAACAAATAATAAAGTGGTGCTTTAAGATAACAGACTTGCCCCACACCCAGGTTCTTTCATAAAGAAAAAGATGAGGGAGGGAGGGAGGGAGGGAAGGGAAAAGAAAGATCTTATTTTTTAGGATTTAAATTATATCACCCCAGCACAGCAAAGCCTCTTTTGAAATAGCTGCCTCTTTGTAGGACACACACCTTAGTCTTGCTAAGAACACAGAAATTCAGAAATTTAAAACTTACTGGGAACTTCACAAACTAGAGAAAAGAAATAAGGCAGATTTGCATCCTTTTTTCCATTAAACCATGCCATCAGGAATGTATTCTACAATAATTTCCTTCAGGCAATTTCATTCCCAGTTTTCACTGTTTTTTATTTTCAAGGGAACAAAACAGACCCACACTTTCTTTACCTAACACTAGCCTGAAGAATCTATTGAATTATATTGATTTTTCTCCCTTTGAACGCAAGCTCATTAACCTGAAACACTAAGGGGATAACTATATTTCACTGAGCCTATAACTGAGTGTCTGAAAACAAAAAGATCCCAAGACAGTGATACAGCTCTCTCCCTGGGATTCCCTTTTTTTTTTTTTTTTTTTTTTTGGCAAATTCAGCTGCAGAAACTGTGACATTGCTTCCTTAATCCTAGAGAGTTTCACATCAGCTATAAGCAGCTTTCTTTAAATGTATCCTTCTTTATTGTAATGTTTAGCAAAATCTGGGTTCCCAGCTTTCCACCAACTTCTGTACTCTTTACAGGCTACTGGGGAGAAAATGTTAGCATCCAACAGTCGTGTGGCGCTGACAGCAGGTTCCGCTGCCTCCTCTCAGCTAAATGAGCTAGGGCTGAATTGAGAAGCTATCTTGGATGTATGGAAATGAGGTCTCCTCCAAAACCCCCGGGGACTTCCTAGCAAAGGAAAAAGCCATCAGGAAAAAATTAGACAACATAGACAGCAGAGGCAGCCTACTAAACAAGTCTCTCCAAGAAGCCCAATGAGTGGGGCTGCATTTATCTTCCCAAACCAGGGGATGTGACCCCACTCTTCCAAAATAATAATCATGTAACAGCTACGTTACCCAAGAAACCAATATAAAGTGCTTGTGGTTTTGACTTTTATTTGAGATCTCTGATGAGATCAAATGATCTATACCCTTTCATTCAAGGCAACAGACGTCTTCAACTGTTTTTTAATTTGATTTATCCTTTGAAACAAAGTGCATTACATTTAACTGGTCTTGCAAAGGGGGTTTTCTCTTTACAAACCGAATTCCTTATATAAATTAATAAAAGTTAAAGATGCTAATATATCACCGTTAGCTTAAAAAAGAAAACAATTTACATAGTCTATAGTATTCTTATGATACAAAACACTTCAAATTCAATTACAGCAACTAAATGGATTTTTATGTTTCTGACCCAGAGCAGTTGTAACAATTCCCACCATCTACTTTAACACGCATTTGTATCAGAAAGGAGTTAAATTAAATACAAGCTATTGTAGCCCCTCCCTCCCCAACACCTTCTTTAAATCACTAATAAATAGCAACAAACGACTGTGCAATTTCGGAGAGAAACAGAGAGGCAGGTCTGAGGCCATTCCTGGTTCCAAGTGTTCTACTTCAAGTCCTGGAGGCGGGAGCCGGGTGCAGAGCCAGGGGTGGTCCGGGAAGAGCGAGAGGGATGAAGGGGAAATGGGATTGATCAAATCCAAACCCAGGAGGGGAGCGGGCGAGGGAGAACGAGCGCATTCTTTACTACGCTTCTCCAGTTAAGCAAACGGGAACGTCGTTTGAATAGCTCTTAAAAGGGGAAGGGTAGCAGAAAGAAGGAGGTCCATCTTTTTATACCAAATTCAAAAAAGCATTTTACATTTTAAATATTCACAATAGAGTAACTTCTAGTCAGTGAGACTCACGATTTATTTACAAAGAGCCTTCAACAGGCCACTTTAGTCGGCACAGCAGTTTGTGCGGGAGAAACATCCCTCTTCCCATCTGTGGCGGCCGGCCGCCCGCCCGCGTGGCTCCGAGGTCCCCCGCGCGGTGGGTGTCGACGGGTTCAGAAGCCCTCTCAGCGCCCCCGCCCTGGCCAGCGGCCGCAAGACAGAGGTGGGGGCGGGGGCGCGGGGGGACACGGGAGGAGGGACGCGACTAGGACACCGAGCGGGGCGGTAGGGTGGCCCAGCTGCGGCGTCTGTTGCCCCCACCCTGGCCAGCGGCCGCAAGACAGAGGTGGGGGCGGGGGCGCGGGGGGACACGGGAGGAGGGACGCGACTAGGACACCGAGCGGGGCGGTAGGGTGGCCCAGCTGCGGCGTCTGTTGCGTTAGTCTTGCGGTGTATTTCGTGGCCTTCTCTGCCTTCTCATCATCCTCCGAGTCTCTCTCACCCGCCCCGCTCAACTTCTAGGTTAAAAAAATAGCTATGTACATCTTAGAATATAGCAAAGGGCCCCCGGCAGGCGCGGCCGTATCCTCCGGGCCCCGAGGAGCGGGAAGACGGGATGCGCGGTCTCCGCGCGGAGTGGCCGGAGGCCGGGCGGGTATCGGGCGCTCAGGACGAGCTCTCGTTCTCGGACGCGTGCAGCAGGAGGCCGCCGCCGCCGCTGCCGGACTTGTGCTTCTTCAGCAGCTGCGTGATTTTCTCGTCGTCCGAGTTGGGGTCCAGGGGCTTGTTATAGTCGTCGTCCTCCTCCTCGTTCTCCGAGGCCCCTTTAAGCCGCTCGGTTTCCGAGTCCTGCTTCTTCTTGGCCGTGGCCATCTCGGCTGCGTGCTTCTTCCTCCACTTGGTCCGGCGGTTCTGGAACCAAACCTGGGGGTCGAGAAAGCGGAGAAGAGGGGAGACAGGGACGGAAGGAATTTAAGGTGAGCAGAGCCAGGCAATGCCTTCTCTCCCGCATCCCGCAGTCGCTCCTGCGGGCCCCTGACGTCTTGACACCCTCCCTCAGAGTCCTCCCAGGTCTGGGCCGTTGAAGTCGGTCTCCACTGCCCCAGCTTCCTCCGAGTATCAGGCACCAACAAACTGACTGCCGTTGCCATAGTGATGGTAACACAAGAGTATTGAGGTTGTCAGTGAGCGATTTCTCAGAAAAGAAAAAAACTTGGAAACTTAAAATGAGTTTCCCTAAGAGTTCGCTTGCCTACTTTCTCGTTTGAAGTAGAAAACTTTTCCCTTTCGTAAAGTTGCCTCATAATGACTGCGATTCTATTCGTTTTTAACTTTCTTAGATTAAGGTATTTCAAGCAATCTGAAGTGTACTGGCTTTTTAGTGTGATTTGTGGGAGAAGACACAGCATTTACCCCAATTACCTCTGTTCTTTTCACTTTGGGGTATTTGTTTCACTTATTTCAGGTCTGAATACACACAAATATGGTAGGTAAACACTCCCCTCCCCATTTACACTTGTAATGTATGATGTAAAGTTTAAAAAAAAATCTGCTAAAACAGAAACCTCAAATCAGTAATAATAACCAACATAAATGCATGAAAATATTTAATATTTGAAAATATTTAATATTTAAAAGTTGAAATCATCATAGTAGTTTGTGTGTCTTTCTCTGTCTCTCTGGTTTAATGTTTTTCATAAAACCGAAGTCAAAGTAAGAATTTTCATCAGTTTTTTTTTTAAGTGAAATTTTGCCAGTTACATTACTTCCCACTATTAGCATGCCTAATCTTTCACATATTATTTTAATATTGTCCCTCCCTAAGACATTCATTTTTATACAAATATTTTAAACCTATTCATGATGTTTGACATCGTGTTTCATACATATATTTTAAACTAAAGCATCAGCAACCAATTTCCCAAACATATTGAATCATCCTCTCTTTATGCTTCTCATCCATTTTCTCATCCGTTATGTATTTATCTAGAGAATCAGAATTGTTAAGAAAGTGATTTTTAGTTTCTTTATACAGCTATAATAATTCACTTCTAGCCACGCCGACATATTTATGGTGACAAATGAAGACCTCCAGATTACTGTGGTAGGCTCTGTACCAACCACTGCAAAAATAATTTTAACTGTGATGGTACTCTAATGGTAACATACAAAATCACTCCTGAAATGCATTTTATGGTGCTTGTCT